ATCAAACCACAAGAGCATCCACAATGGGCTCCCTAAACCACCTCCTTAGCTAAAATTTGGGGAGGAATTGAAAAAACTAACCTCCAATCATGCTCCATATCCAGCTCTTAAAATATGGAGACTTCTAGGAGCTCCTAAATCTGAGGAGAGAGAAAGGGCTCCTAGTGACTCCCTATAATTAAATGCTACCATATTTTGTTATTTTAAACATTTATTAATGATATCTTTAATTTTATCTTTTTTTCTTTCTGCATTTTATCTTTGTAATCACTTTCTATTGCAAGCTACCTACACCGTCTGTTCTATTCTTTTTGCCGAAGCTGTAGGTGCTTTGCAAAGCACAAACAAACATTTTTTTTTTTTCGATTCTTTTCACTGTAGACATTTTGCAGCACACGAACACCTTCTTTTTTCTTTTTTTTCTTTTTTTCTTTTTTAAGTTCTTTTCCATGTAGGTATTTTGCAAACCACAACAACCATTGAATATCAAAATTGAACAACAAATAAACTTACAATATCATTGTAGTTTATTATTTTGGAATATTTAGTATTTGAATATGAATATTTTATTGCAAATTAGGAATTAAATTTAAAAAGAAGTATTTATGATTAAAAAAAAAAGTAAAGCATTTATGACTCTCCAAATTAGGGAGTATGGTTGGAGTTGGAATTTTTTAGAGAGCTCCTATAATAGCTTTTTTGTGTTTTTAGCTAAATTTTAGCTAAGAAATAGATAGTATGATTGTGGATGCTCTAACAACTTAAGTTCTAGCACATTTTTGATTGATATGTCTTATAGTTTTATTATGGTTGGAAGTGGAACTTATATTAAATATCTGTCCACGTAAGAAGGTGTAAGTTTGATATACATTGTTAGTCAATTTTCTAACAGCTTAAGCTTTTAAAATTAGCAGTTGTATCTAATGATGATTGAGGTACTTCTTTGATTTTTGTCATCTGTGTACATATTTTTTGATATGTAGTTAATAAGTTATTGATGTAAAATTGGTTTCAATATTGTAAGAATTTTTATTTATGTGATATGAAATAATGGCATATACTATTTATAAACTTTGCGTCCAAAGTTCTCTTTGTTCCAAATGCTGCATGTAAAGCACCTCATTTTTTTGAAGAATACAAGTCCTTCATTGGAAACCTAACTAAATAAAATACAACATATAATGAATGGTTCCACTATTAATATCACCAAGGCCTTTTGTGATAAAACCCTACATCTACTGGGCTTTGTCAGTGGTTAAGTTGGAGACAATATCGGCGTTGTTAGTAATGGACCGTTGACCCGTCTCTCCATATTTAACAATTTTTCTCTGTGCATGTGAAAGGAAAGGAGGAGGAAACTCAACAAGTCTCGGTATATCCAAATTAACTAGAAGGTTATGGTGTTGGTGACATTTTGTATGTGATTCTAAGCAACAAGAGGAGACTCAAGCAAAAATTAGACTTGCTCAAACTGATAATAAAAAGATTGAATGGACCATGGACTAGCTGACCCCCCTTTGAACATTGAAGCTCTGTATCTTTCGTCGTTCATCATTTGCTTGCAAAAAAAAAATCAATATTCTGTGGTAGAAAATTTGCTTGGAAAATTGCTCCATTCTGCCTGGAATTTCCAAGTAAAAGTCCAAAATCCAAAGAAAATGGAAGTCAAGCAAAATGGCAAAGACTTAAAAGAATCGTTGTCACGATCTATGACGACTTTACAAAACCGCGTGGGTTCCACCATGTTTGTGGGGGCCCCAAGTCCCATATAACTCCAATTTTCTATGGACTGGTGATTGCAGACTGAGTCCAATGGGTCCTACAGCTTCTCCATCAAACCAACATATAAAATCATGAAGAGTCTATATGGCTTTGCACCACAATCCCGCTCCTTATAAATACAATCTGTGGAGAGTGTACGTCTCAAGTGCAACCAACCAACATTAATTGAGAGCTAAGTAGAAAGCAGAAGCAGAAAGCAGAAGCAGAAGCTACACTATTTATAGTCACCAACATTTTCAATGGCAGCCAACACTAAGGATCAAGAACAAATGATCCCAGAATTTGAACTTCCAGGATTTAGATTCCACCCCACAGAAGAAGAACTTCTTGAGTTCTACCTCAAGAGCGTGGTTTTTGGGAAGAGACAGCGTTTTGACATAATTGGTTTTCTCAATATCTACCACCATGACCCTTGGGACTTGCCTGGTAAACTTTCATTAATTACTTGGTTTACTTAGTTATATGCATGGTTTTATTTGCTTAATTAATTATAATGGTGTTGTTAATTAATAGGTGTTTGATTAATTACTTGTAGGGTTGTCGAAGATTGGAGAAAGAGAGTGGTATTTTTTTGTGCCAAGGGACAGGAAGCATGGCAGTGGAGGAAGACCTAACAGAACCACTGAAACTGGGTTCTGGAAAGCCACCGGCTCTGACCGCAAAATTGTGAGCCTCTCAGATCCAAAGAGGATCATTGGGCTCAGAAAGACTCTTGTTTTTTACAAAGGCAGAGCCCCAAGAGGAACCAAGACTGATTGGGTCATGAACGAGTATCGTTTGCCTGATAACTGCCACTATCTCAAGGTAATGGTTGGCAATTTTTTTTTTCTTCTGGTAATGTGTAGATTCGATCGGTGTCAGTCCTGTGTAGATTCGATCGGTGTCAGTCCTCCAACCTAACATGTGCTGACTTTTAATTATATCACAAAGTCTAACAAAAAGTTAATTCTCTTTTGCAAAGTTTCAAAAACTATAGGGGAAGAAGCAAAGTCTTGTAATTAAGTCTAAGCATCATCAAGGAGTCTCCAAGAAAAACACGAGTCTTAAGCATCTATCTCCGTACACTTAACTATATCTTGGGAAGTTTCCATGAAAATTCTTAAATTTGGTCCTATGGATTTATTTTCCTTGTCATTGAGTGCACACTGTGTTTGTATTTGCTTGGTGGATCATTGGCGGGTGACACCTCATTGTTTTATGATAGATGTCATATATTATGTGTGACAGTCCGGCGCAGTGGGTCAGGTGCACGCAATAAATTTTGCAACTATTAGCCGATATAAACAACAATTACGCTCAATTAACTTTAGTGCATCTAGTTTGATCTTATTTATTTTCACATCTAATTCGGGTCTCATTTACTAATTACACTACTAAAATGACATAGTTAAATAGATGCGTGTCACCTGACATTTGATGAGTAATATTTGATTAGGTAGTTTGATATATAGGTCAGTTCGCATTTAATTGGATAGTGATCTAATGGATTTTTTCTTGAATTTGTAAATGCAGGACATAGTGCTATGCAAGATATATAGGAAGGCAACTTCCTTGAAAGTCCTAGAGCAAAGGGCAGCAATGGAGGAAGAGATAAAGAACTTTCATGCTTCTCCAAACACATCATCTCCTCCAACATCAATGGAGACCATCTCATTTTGCAGCCAACCACAGGAAGATCTGACCCTACAAATGCCCAAAAACAATGTGGTATTGAAGCAAGAAATGGAAGATTCATCACTAACAGAAGCAAAAGAGCCAAAGGAAGAGAAGGCAATGGAGATCAAAGGGTCTCCTCCTCCTCCTACATACATATTGCCAGAGCTCCAAGTGCCAAGATTGAGCATGGACTGGACCCAAGACACATTTTGGACCCAAATGAATAGCCCTTGGCTTCAAAACCTGACCCCTTTGCCCAACCTTCTCAACTTCTAAATTCTAATGAATTAGTTTGATGCGTAGGGTAAAATAAAGTTTGGTCCTGTAGATAAATTTGGCTCACAGCTTAGGCGTTCTCTCATCCCTCACCGAGAGATGCTTATAACTACTGTCAATGTTCCAAGTGTTAGCCGTTCTAGTTAAGGAACAGCTGTTAGCTTTTTTGTTTTTGTTTTTTTTTTCTTTCATTCTTGGGTTTTTTTTTTCCTCACCAGAGAGAGCAATGACTATCTTATCTGTATACATAGATATACATTTTCTGTAAGGGACCTAATGGGTAGGTAGGAGAGGTGTCATGGACAAATGGGTCTGAAAATTTGGTAATGGGGAGTTTCTATTTGTTTCACTTTATGCTTCTCTGATTTTTCTCTTGTGAATATGGGCTTAAAGTCCAGTTGCTTTTAACAGGTTTTGCTTTTGGTTTTTGGCCCAACAAAGAAAGATCGTCAAAATTTAAATTACAGTTGAGATTTTAAGAGGGGTTTTGCCTTGATCCAAAAATTGCAAACCAATTCCAACTTCAGCTCGACGTATTTTTAAAGCCTCTTAATTATAGGTACAAAATTGGAAATTTCTGACAAAAAAAGTTTTGAGCTGGGTGTCCAAATAACATTTTCCATCTTTATAAGCATTCAAAATCTAATCACTCCAAAGTGATTAATCTAATTCAATCTAATTTGGCCGGTTTCTATAATCTTGACCATGCATGGAGTTTGTTTTTTGATTTTTGAATACAATGATAATCTAAACTATAAGAAAATGAGGATTTCTCACACATGCATTACTAAGAGCAATTCCACCGATTTGGATTGTCAGGGCAAAAGGCCCTCTGGGCTGCAAAAATACACTCCACCAATCAAATATAGTCCGGACAGATGGTGGGCTCCACCAAGATTGGGCAAGCTAGAAGGCAAAAATAGCTTGAGTTGTTGCATGAGAGTGTTGACGCTAGCATGGCGTCCATGAAAAAAAGAAGAAAAAAAATCCAAGAAATTCAGAATTTTATTTTTATATTTTTTTATAAATACATGTCTAGGATTGGGTTTATTTATAAATTTGTATAAAATTAATCCCATGTGAATAGTAATTGCCCTTGGGTTGTCATAGCATTGGGGGAAAAAAAAATAAAATTTACTAGGGCAAATACTATTCGTTTAAATAGTAACCACCCTTACTTGCCCTTGCTTTTTGCTATGGCAAAAAGGTGGAAGTGCTCTAGGGTGCTATGGGGGTTTCGACAAAAAATAAAGGATATCATGGGGGTTCAAACTTAAGACCAGTAATATTCAAGTTAAAACTCTTTTTCATTAGACTACATCTTCTTAGCATGCATGAAGTTAAATGAAAAATTCATTATTATTTCATTTCTCAGAGTTACGATTATTCTCATAACTAGGCATCACATGAATTAGTGTCACAACAGTAGTGACACCAACCACCCAAAAAAAAAGAAAAAGAACACACATTATTGGGTACAAATTACAATTAATTTTCAGGCAATTGAATAACATTGAGATCAGACCCAAAAGGCTTCTGGTTGTAGCAGTCAAGGTTGTTGCCATAGCCAACTCCAAGCAAGTCACAGTACCTCTTATAAAACCCAATGCGATCCTCCACCTTAGCGTTCCAGCACTTACCACATTCAAGTCCACCGTTAATGATATTTGTAGTGACCCCGTAACCGGGAACCAGACCTGCTGACTTGTCGGCTCCAGACGGGTTCCATCTCCTGGTGATCACATCATGGCATGAGGGCTTGGGTGACTGAGGGGTCATCCAGAACCAGAGTGCTGTCTTGAATGAAATAACAGGGTCTGTAGCAACTAGGTCTGGGTTGTTCAACAGGTCCGCCCCTATTGCTTTTCCACACTGTCCATAGTGGGGCCCAAATACACATAATTATTCTAGCTACATAATTCATGATAATATATATATTTTTTTATCATGATGTACCTATTTTGGATAGACGGACACATAATTATATTCAACCGGTTACACTTAAGATTTTCTGATAACTTAAACGATAAATAATTTAATTAGATGTACTTACCAAGAAAGTTGAAATTCGACCAGGGCCATAATACTGCTTACCAGCAGTAGACTGGTAATTAGGATCCCAGGCACAATAAGATCCAGGGTTTTGTTCCTTGAGATAGCAATACCCCCAAGAGTATGGTCCATCAGGTGCACTTGCCCAACCCCCTGGACATTTACATATAATCATCATGCAAAGTAAGTAATTTAGTTGAGACAAATAAAATAAAGGGAGTTTCACTAAAACACCCAAAATGGAGGTTGAAATTATAAAAAAACCCAACACCCAAAACACTTTATAAACATACCCAAAATCCATTATTACACACATTCAAAACTCATTTATAAACACACCCAAAAAGTTGACTTTGGGGTTGATTTTGGGTGTGTTTCTATGTTTAAATAGTGCTTGGGTTTTTTTATAAATACATGTCTAG